TTTTTCTGACTTTTTTCAAAAATAAGACTTTTATCGACTTCTTTTAATAAAATGCGACATTTTTTTTAACATTTGAAAAAAATGTAAATAAAATACATTTTTCTAGTATAAAATGTAGATCTTCATCATATCTTCTTCAATTAAATTATTTAACAAATTTTAAACTAAAATGATTCTTCACTACATTAATTAATTTTAATAATTTTAATGAAATACATCACAAATTCAATTATATCAAAATTATTTTTTTTTTATTAAAAAAAAAAAAAAAATTTATTTAAAAATCTGTAAAATATTTTTGTTAAAATAAAAAACAAATCCACTTTTTTTTGGAATATAAATCGACTAAAACGACTTTTTTGTGTCTTTAAGTTGATTCGAGGCCTGTGTTTTTATAATTAATATTTAATAGGTATTCGTTGGCACCTGGTACCTTAAAAATTAATTTTTAAAAATAAATGTTTTTCAAATTACTATCTTATACGAAATTTCCTGGCGCATCTTTTTTCTCATCATACATTTTTTGTACAATTTTTGAATCAATATACAACTTTAAAAAGAATTTCGTTGGTAAACGTTGTGTACTTCAGCTTCGTGAATTAAATTTTCGAATTTGGAATTTTAAAGAAACTTATTCCGAAATTTGGAAACACAATTATACAACTTTGGCAAAAATAAGAAAAAGAATTGTCAAAATTTGACACGTCATAAGATTACTATTCAAAAAAACACGTGAAATCAGAAAAGGCCAACTTCAAGTTAGGACAGAAGGACAGACCAAGCATTTTATTATTATATAATTTACCTAACCAAGCAGACGCAAACATTTGCAGCTGCTTGCTACGAAATTTCCCCTTCAAAACCTACATGGATAGTATGCGCAGAATTCGTAAATTCGTTCTATTAGCAGTGCACGAACTTAAACGACACGCCCACCGTGTGCACGCTTACCATGCCACTACTCACTGCGGTAAAGCGTGGAAGTTTCACCTCCTGGTTCTAGTCTTCTTGTTTTAACCCTTGAAAGTAGGATGTTTGTCAATTTTTGTCCAGTTTAAACCAATCAGAGTAACTTTCAGACATAGTGGTGAAAAATGGTAATACTGAACGTAGGATAAAATGCTAAGCCACGCCCCCAGCGGACATCCCAATAAGACCTGAATGGGAATACGTTTTTTTAAATTGTAGGTCTCACAAGCGGACAAATAATGAGAGTTCTTTGAGTCATATTAATAAAGATTAAGAGCATTTGAACCTTCGTGACGTCACAAATCATGGCGCATGACACGCAAACTTCTCAGGTATGTGAAAAGCACAATTTTGAATATTTTTTAAAAAAACCTTTTGGAAAATGTTCAGAATAACATAGACTATGTCTGTTATGTGCGGAAAATTCAAAATTTTGCGTTTAAAACGTTTTTTAAACAATTTTTAGGTTGGTTGTCACAAGTAAGGAAAAATACACGAATTGCTTATATGTAGGCCATTTTTGGAAAGACCAGGATAAAAATTGGAAAATTCTTACGTAATTTATCAAATATTTGAATTAATTTTATTATAAATAATAATTAAAATTTTTTATTACTAATTAAACAATAAATTGTTGTTGTTTAATTACTTTTTTCAAAAAGCACTTATAAGAAAGCATATTTTTGCCAGCTTTCTAAATTATTCATCTCAATTTTGTAAAAAATAAAGGCCAAAAAACCAATTTATTTTTCAATTTTTCAACTATATAATTATTGTTTTTTATTTAAAAAATTGAAAAATGTTTGAATTTTCAACCTTTTTTACAACATTGAGATGAGTAATTTAAAAAATTCTCAAAAAATTGCTTTTTTATATGTGCTTTTTGAAAAAAGTACATAAAAAAACAATAATTATTTATTTAAAAAATTGAAAATAATTGGATTTTTAACTTTTTGTACAACATTGAGATGAGTAATTTTTAAAAATTCTAAAAAAACATGCTATTTTATATGTTCTCATTTGAAAAAAAGATGAAACACAATAATTAATTATTTGAAAAATTGAAATACAATTTGAAATTTAATCTCTTTTTTATACAATATTGAGAATAGCAATTTAAAAAATTTTCAAAAAATTGCTTTTTTATATGTACTTTTTGAAAAAATTATATGAAAAACAATAATTATTTATTTAAAAAATTAAAGAATAATCTGCTTTTTAGTTATTATTTTTAACAACATTGAGATAAGTAATTTGAAAAATTCTCCAAAAACTGTTTTTTTAAAAGTGCTTTTGAATAATTCAATTTACATGTGTTTTTTTAATAAAAAAGAATAATTATTGATTTAAAAAATTGAAAACTAATTCAATTTTTAAACAAATATTTTTCACAACTTTGACATTTGCAAATAACAAAATTAGGAAAAAACTGCATTTTTGTATGTTTTTTTTTTTTTTTAAAAGTAAATAAATAACAACAATTTATTGTTTAATTAGTAATAAACAATTTTAATTATTATTTATAATAAAATTAATTTATCCTGGTCTTTCCAAAAATGTCCTACATATAAGCAATTCGTGTATTTTTCCTTACTTGTGACAACCAACCTAAACATTGTTTAAAAAACGTTTTAAACGCAAAATTTTGAATTTTCCGCACATAACAGACAGAGTCTATGTTATTCTGAACATTTTCCAAAAGGTTTTTTTAAAAAATATTCAAAATTGTGCTTTTCACATACCTGAGAAGTTTGCGTGTCATGCGCCATGATTTGTGACGTCACGAAGGTTCAAATGCTCTTAACTGATTTTTTTGAATTTAAAATTTTTTTTAAATTGATCTTTGAATATAATTTTTTTAAAATTGTATATTTTTGTTTAATTTTTTAGAGTATTTTAAGACGCATCTTTTGAACTATTAGCGAATATTTTACTGTTATTCTATTCAAAGTTATTACTCTTGTAACAATTAGAAAAAAGTGTTTTGCCCATAATTTTAAAAAATGTATAGACTCCTATAGATATATATCTTTAGTTTTTTAGAGTTTTTTAAGATGCATCTTTTGACCTATTTGCGAACTTTTTTGCATTATTTGTTCAAAAATCTTTATTCGTGACTTTAATATTATCATAACTAACATAGAGAATATTTAAAAACGAATTAATTAACCTATAATTGAACTTTATATTACAAAATATTACAAAGTTATTAGTGTTGAAAATCTATCTCTGCAAACGCTGAACAACTACAACTTAAAACCTTTTATAAAATTATTATAATACTAAATAAGTTACCATTATATGGTAAAAAAAATCTCCATGAGGAAGCGAAGTACAAAAAATTCGTACTTCAACTTGACATCGGTTTATTAATTTTATATTTATATTTTATATGCTAATTGTCAAATAGAAAAACCAAGCTTTGTTTTATTCAAGACATTTCATAAGAAAAAACTGTAAAATTCTTTGGTAAAACTTTTTTAGTCTAGAAAATTATAAAATATTTTAATCTGATATACTAAATTATCTTACTTAATTGTTAAATGAATTTTATTGTGGAAAATATTAAAAACTGTAACTTTAATTTTATTTAAAGCATTTTTTGAGGTCAATAACACAAAAACAATACATTAATACTAGTTGATGGGCATTTATAATCAGAGACTTTTTACTAATAGACCCCTGACAGTTGAGAAACATGACTACTTGCATTCACGCCGGTCACGGGTCATTTATTATAAAAAGACATCAACTTGTTTCCAAAATGCCTGTTACAGTCAATTATAAAATAATAAATAGTAATTTTTTTTCAATATATTAAATGATAATTATTTTTCATTCCAACTGCTATTGTAAATAACGTAAACATGCCAACCAGCCGGTAATTAAGCGTGAATTTTACCATCGCGTTTTTCGTCACACTCAACTATTTAATAAAATAATGAATATATAACAATAATTATTATAAATAATAATGATACTGGTTTGAAATACATTTTTTTTATTTAACATTTATTATAATAAATAATTGATATAACTGATTGATGAGTACAAAAAATGGTTATGTGGTCTGAATATTAAGCCATCTTTTTTCATCAATCTATGCACCAATTTATAATCGTTAACTTCATATAAATAGTTATACAAATCTCTTACAGAACATCATTTTTTAAAGAAGTTTGCTGCAAACTTTCTATATGTACAAAAATAACTCCCTTATGCACTGAAAAATAAATTTATTTGATTCAAATACTTCAAATTATTTGAAAAATATTTAATTGGTTCAAATACTTTTTATTTGGATCAAAAAAATATGTATTTGATTCAAATAACTTGAATTATTTTAATCGCATTTATTTGAACCAAATAAATCGTATTTGGTCCAATTAAATAATTAATTGAATTGAATAAATGAATTTATTTAATACAAATAATGAGTTTAGTTAGTTAGTAGCTTTGAATATTCCATTTATTTGATTTGAATACTTTGTATTTGATTTAAATAACTATTTATTTGATACGATAAAACAAAATTCTTAGGTTTAGTAAATGTGTATTTGGTTCAAATACATATTTATTGGATAATAGACAAGTAAATGATGTATTTGGATCAAATACTTTTTATTTGATCCAAAAAATGTTTTTTTTCAGTGTGGCTAACAAAAAAAGTATTTCTATTTATTACTTTCTAGTTAACTAAGATTAATAGTTTACTTTGCGTAGCTAAATTAAAGCACTATTTACTATTGAAGTTATTAGTGATTTAAATAAATAAAATATTAAAAATATTTTTTACCAATTTTTTTGAATTTAAATAAACTATTTTCCCTAATTAAAAGGTCCTTATTTGTTTATTTAAAACATTTTATTATCATTTAGTTTCTATTTAAGTAACTAGTAAATAACTACAAGTTTCTTGCTATTTAACAAAAAATAATAGAGGTCCACGAGTCCACCTACAGCTATCTTCCATCTCTTACTTTCTACTATTAACAGCCACTTATATTTTCTCTATTCAATTGCTGTTGCTACTTCCACAGCTGTCATTGTATTCCCTTCTGGTATTCGTTCTTTCTCCGATGGTTCTCCGGATCAGTTCTCCTACTAACACTGTTCAGAAATGTTATCGTGGCGAACGTTACCTGTTATTAAGACGCGTTCCTATATTCATGAAATTTTATTTCATGTATTTTTTATGCAATTAATTTTTATACAATATCTTCTATCAGAATCGCTAATGTGTTGGGAGTGACAAAATTGAAAATTAAAGTTTTGTGTATGTGTGTGTAACTAACTAGAAATTACCTCCATAGTTCCTTATATTTGTGTCGAAAGCATTGAAATTGAATTGTGTTTTTGTCAAACGATTTATTTAAGTTTCCAAATCAACTATTAAAATTATTTTTAATCATAAATAAATTAACAAACAATTGTTACGACAATGCTTAGTTTATCATCTAAGCTTTTGTGACAGAATGTTTTTCATCTTGAGAAAATTGGATAATTTTTCTCATATTTTAATATTGTGGATTAAACAAGGTGCCTATTATAATTGTGTGTTCAACTAAAATTGTGAAAAGTAAATTTTATCCATGCACAGGAAATATGGAAAAATAACCGAGACGTTCTATAAGAATGGATCGAATAGTGAGTAAGAAATTATCCTTAAACTCTTTGACGACCGCACCTGCCATATTGAAACGGTAATACTTCGTCGTTGCAGTCTAAGGGGTTTTCTACAATGAAAGTTTCACTTAATACAATGCTAAATATTTTGTTTTCTAAGGTATTTTTAAGAATATATTCCAATGAAATTTAATTAAAATAATTAAAACATAATTTTTTTATTACTAAAACTTACATAAGATAACTGTTAATTTAAATATTTTCAAATAATGTGTTTCCGATTTTATATCATATTTAAGCATTGCGTTGTGTTGGAGTTACGTGTAATTTTCCTCAAAGAGAAATCCACAAGGATTGTCCACATGAAGATTCCAGGACGTTGATAATATTGATACATCACTAAATTTTATCGTCAAACATTAAATTCAAAATCAATTATTGAATATTTTAGAAAAACAAAATTCCAAGCATTAAACATTTTATATAAATATAACGCTATCATAAATATATAATTATCTGACAACGCAAAAGAAAAATCATTAAGAAAAATTTTTATTTACACAAACAAACACACACTTTAATGACATACATTTATGACTATTATTTATACCTATAAATTTTAAACATAACTTTTTATTTTCTTATTGATTTTAAAATATATATTGTCGGATTAATAATTAAAAGTTCGTAAAGAAAACGTGGTTTCATTACTTTTTTGTGAAATTATCCAAAAACATACGATAACTTTCTCTTAAGTACTGTCGAATATTTTAAAAAAGTTAAAAAGATATAATTTTTAAAAAATTTTGAATGATTTTTTTTACATTTTAGGATTTTTACATAAATTGTTATCCAAATTCAACATGAAAGTTATGTGGTATTTGAAGTTACACTTTATATTGCGATAATATTTAATGTCTATTAAAATCTTAAATGAACCCTTATTAAAATATACACACACTCATACAAACAAAATGCACACGTGATATGGTAAGGAACATGCGAATATATGTCACTTAACCTAGGGAGTACAGTTACATAATAATACGTATAATTTTTTTTCATGTCATATTTGTGTAACAGTGTTTTTTTATTTTTAAAATCTCTCTTTATTATTTAAGATTTATGTTTTGTAACGTTATTGCCCATACAGCACCGAGAGTTTCCTGAAACTTGACATAAGCTAGCTGTTTCATTAAGATTGACAATATTTATTTGCAATGTTTAAGAAAGTTTGTGTTTAGAAAAATTGCAATGAAACTTTCCATCAAGTTTAAAGTAACTTTTACAACTTCCGTAGTAAATCGTAAACTGTCCGGAATTTTTGGCAACTATTGCTTCGTAAGTATAATGCGCAAAAGTTCTGGACAGTTTAGGTTTTAGTTTATAAATAATAAAAGTTACTTTATATTTTTTTCCGTGTATAAGAAAACCGCTGCCAAGTTGGAGCATGAATTTTTTGTGTTATTTGTTACGATTATGGTAATTTTAAAATTAAATAAGTTTTTTTAACCAATAATGCAAAAAAATCACGTTTTTTAAAACTTTTGATTTTTAAAATATCAATAACTCTCGATAGAATAACAGTAAACCTGACCACTGTGACAATTAAAAAAAATTCATCCCCATAGCTTTCGTAGAATTCGAGATATGAAAATATGATGCACACATAAGCACACGCTGTACGACATTATTTAAAAATGTGATTTTTGGTTTCTGAGGTCAAAAAACATAAAGATTAGGGTGGCCGTTAAAATGATCAATTTTTTAATTCGACTCATTCCACCCCTCAACTACTTTTCCAGGGCTGTCCCTGTACATATTTTGTTTGAAACACACTGGGTGTAAATTATAAATACTATTCATATTAATGTAATTAAGATAAAAATTACATTAATTATTATAATAATTAATGAAATAATTTATTATTATTATAATTAAAATATTGATAAAAATTTATAAAATTTCCCGTTTTATTGTTCACTTAATAATAATATTAATTGTTAGTAAATAAAAAAAGGCCGGCAGTGTACCAAAAAATCACTTTATTGTAAAGTAATAATTTAATTATTTTCAATCTATTATTTAATCTATTATTTAATAATTAGTTTCTTTCTTTCCTAAATAGCAGCGTTATACATGTATATTATACAATTTGTATTCAAAGGGTACTTTAATTTTGAAGTCCCGTAAATAAATAAATAAATAAATACAATTGTACATATATTTAAATTCCTCGAAAAAATTAAACTATTTTCAAAATTTTTAATAAAAAATGCTTTACAAAAATATCAATTGTTTTCAAATTTTCAATAAAATTCTTTGTAAGAATTAAATTATTTTTACAAATATTAAAATTTTTCACAGGAATTTAATTATTTAAAAGAATTTTTTTCAAAATTCATTGCAAAAATTCAATTATTTTCATGAATAATAAAATTCTTCACAGGATTTAAATTATTTTTAATAAAATTTTGAATAAATTTCATAAATAATACAATTATTTTTAAAAATATTAAAATTTTTCGAAAGAAATTAATTTTTTTTTAATGTTTTGATAAAAAACAAAAAATCTTTGACTATTTTTCATTTCTTAACTCTCAAAGAATACGGCACTTGTACACGGAAAAAAATTTCTAGTGTTATCAACAGGATCTCTAGCGCCATCCCCGACTGAAAAAACTTGTACAAGAAAATGTACAAGTTCTTGTACATGTTCGTTAATGAACTTGTACATTTTCTTGTACATGTTCAAGCAATGTTCTTGAACAAGTTCAGCATCCAGAATTGAGACATGTTCTTGTATCAGAACTTGTAAATGATCCTGGACAAGGAAATATACTTGTACAAGAAAATGTACATGTTTTTTTACATATTTTTTGTACAGGTTTCATGTACAAGTACTTTTACATGAACACGTTTATGTTCTTGTACAAGAACATTTGTTTAAAAATGTTTTTGAAAAAAATTTGAAATTTTAATAAGTTATAATTATTAAGACTCTTCACTTATGCATGCTAAAAATTATTGCGCAGCTATAGAGGCTTAAGAAAGCTACCGTGCAGCCTTTAAAGTTTTTAATTTTTAATTTAAAAAACATAAATGAACATTTATAAGAACATATTCCACATCTGGTACAAGAAAATGTACGTGTACATAAAAATATGTATACATATTTTTATGGATCTTGTACAAGTTCTGGTACAAGAACATATCTCAATTCCGGATGCTGAACTTGTTCAAGAACATTACTTGAACATGTACAAGAAAATGTACAAGTTCATTAATGAACATTTACAAGAACTTGTACATATTCTTGTACAAATTTTTTCAGCCGGGTCTATAAAACCCGGTTGGAGTATTCACAAAACGCTGAGGTTTGGGAAACAAACAAATATCGTAGAGTGTGTCACAATACAATTCGTTGCGCATGCGCTATGTCTCTGTACTAACGTAAATCAAGTTGTGCTGTTCCCAATTTGTGTGTTTGAAATACTATTTTCTTACAGTCTACATGACAATCTATAGAATTGTTTTTTCTGACATTTGTAGTGTTTTCGCTACAAGAAATTTTTTCCGTATCTATTGTATATCTATTGTATATATATAGGTATACAAGCTGAGTAAAAATTAGTTGCTATGTTGGTGGTAGAGGCGCTGAATCACAGAAAAAACCTGAACTCAAAATGATAACGTATGCTACTCATTTTGATATGCAGCAAAAATGAGTCAGGTTGGTGGCGCCACTGTCTATGTCGTTTAGCATTGATTCATTTTTGCTGCATATCAAAATGAGACTAAGTTTTTTCTGTGATGGTTGCCATTTCGATTCAATGGAGTTGACCGGGCCTGAAAAACGTCATTGTGGAGGATTGACTGTATGTGAATAAAAAATGATAACAGAAATTCCATGAGGAAGCTGTCAATTATCATTTAATTAATGAAAAAAATTGAGATATTTACTGAACCAGAATTGCTATTCTAAAAGCTATTACTTTATATCTAGTTTGGATAACATTTTTTTGTAAAAAAAAATTTTCTAGAATAATAAATTTAATGTAATATAAATTTAGTTAAATTACATATTCTTAATACATGATGAAAAACAATTATTTTTTGTATTATTTTTATATTATTTTTTTTTGCAAAAAAAATAAGAAGGAACTACACGGAAAGAAATCTATTGTTATAATATTTAATAAATCTGAATAGAAATTTTAATATTTTTGTTTTTTAATTGCGAAACATTCTGATTTGCTAATAAAAGTTGGTATAGTTTTACGAATTCCTTTAACTGGAATCATTTTACGAAAACTGAAATTATTATTTCTTAATTCAAATCTACAATTTTCGAATATTGAAAAAACTATAGGAAAAAACAGTATAGGAAGTAAACAGTCTAGCACTTTGTTATGTACTAAATTTATACGAAAAATCAGAACCAACATTTCGTAATTTGCTTAAAATTATTCCTAACACATCCTAACTACAATACGCATACATAAACGCAGAATAACGCAACGCATATAGATACATAATTCACGCGGAAATGAGAAATTATGAACTTCTTTATATACTAAATAGACAGATTTTTCTGCACTTGTGAGAAACTTAATATTACATTGTTAAATATTTAAAAATAAAAATAATTATTTATTAAGAAATAATAAAATATTTTATTACCTTTCAAAGAACAATTTTTATCATAAAATCATTTAATTTAATTATAGAAGCAAACTTACAACAAATATTCTATAATTATATTTAGAAAAAGAAATATAGAATAATTAAAAACAATTATTTATCAAAACTTTTTCTAGTCTATATTGTAGAAATAAAAATTATATAAAAATTATGAGCAAACAAATGAAATATTTAATTATTAAATATTAATTAAAATTATTTTTAATTCATATTACAGTATTAAAAATTATTTTAAAATCAGGATGTCTAGCAAGGCTTAAAGAAAAAAATTCCCTGACTTTTCTCTGACATTTTTTTTCGTGACTACTCGTTAGTGATCGGTCAAACCCGGACGGACTCACTCGCTTAACTTCGTCAAACTTCGGTGATTTTTGATATTTTTCTATCATTTTTTGAAAGAAAAAGTTTCTATTAGTATTATATGTAAATATAAGCATTTAACACCAATCCACTTTC